TGATATTATATCATTTCTCTCTAGGTGTTCTACCCATTTAGTTTTGATTAGTTTTTCCAATACTTTCACTATTACACTTGTCAATGATACAGGTCTATAATTGAGGGGGTCTTCCCTGCTGCCACTTTTGTAGATTGGAACTATGTTAGCCTGTTTCCACCCGTCTGCTACGATTCCTGTACACAGGGATGCCTGAAAGATCAGGTGAAGTGGAATGCTGAGCTCAGATGCACATTCTCTCAGAACCCATGGTGAAACGCCATCTGGGCCAGCTGCTTTGTTCTTACCGAGCTCCTTGAGCATTTTTTCCACTTCGTCTCTAGACACCTCTATGTGTTCTATGTTGTTCTCTGGAATTCTTATTGTATCTGGTTCCCTAAAGATTTCATTTTGTACAAACACACTTTGGAACTTTTCGTTTAGTGTTTCACACATTTCCTTTTCATCTTCCGTGAATCTATTTCCCATTTTCAACCTCTGAATATTATCCTTTACTTGCAATTTGTTGTTTATGAATTTATAGAATAGACCTGGTTCTGTTTTACATTTGTCCGCAATCCCTTTTTCAAAATTTCTTTCTGCCTCTCTCCTCACTGCCGTGTAGTTGTTTCTCGCATCTTTGTATCGCTGGTATGTTTGGGGGTTCGGCCTCTTCCTGTATTGATTCCATTTTTGTGTCTTTCGGTCTCTAGCCCTCTCGCAATTTCTATTGAACCAATCCTGTTTCCTAGTTCTGCATCACTGTTTTGGTATAAATTTTTTTGTGCCTTTATCATATATTTCACAAAACTTGCCATACATCTCATTCACTTCCTTGCCTAGCATCAAGTCTGTCCAATTATACTCACTAAAAAAAATTTCTAAGGTCACCATAATGTCCTCTCCTGAAGTCTGGTTTTTCAACTGCTTCAACCTCTTTATTTTCTTCCAGCTTATAACGCATTGCATACTTTATTCCCAAAAAGACATGGTCACTTTTACCCAAGGGAGGAAGGTACTGAATGTCAAATATCTCTTCCTCCTTCCTGGTAAATATCAAATCTAGCATGGAGGGAACGTCCCCTTCCCTCATCCTCGTAGCTTGTTTAACATGTTGATACAAGAATGTTTCCAGGATGAGGTCTACAAATTTACAGGTCCAAAAATCTTCTGTTTTAGCTTCATATGCTTCCCAGTCTATGGATTTCAAGTTGAAGTCACCGACTATCAACAGTCGTGATCTATCGTTATCCGCTCTCGCTATAATCTCTCTCATTATTGTTATAAGACCTTCACGTTTACTATCTAGCTCCTCCTTTGACCATGTGCTGCTTGGCGGTGGACTATATGCATTTATCATCATTAGTTTATCATCCTCATAGCAGATCTCTAGTGCTATTATGTCAACTTCTTGTGGATTGGCAGTCATTATTTCCTTCACCTTTAGGTGTTCTTTTACCAGCACAGCAACGCCACCGCCTTTCCTAATTTTTCTGTCCCGTCTCCAAATTGAGTAGCCCCTTGGGAATATGACCTCATTTAAAATTACATCTTCAAGTTTTGTCTCCGTGAGTGCAACAATGTCTGGTGTCTGCAGCTGTATTACATCACTTAACTCCAGTATCTTCGATCTCACTCCATCTATGTTGGTGTATGCAATCTTCAGGAACTTGTTCCCCCTCTCCTTATTCTTCACTCCCCCTCTCTCTATTGATTTTGTTGGTTTGCCTTTATGTACCACTTTACTGGTTTGCCTACCCCTATCACTTTGTAGAAAAAAGAATTTATTTCTTCATTCCTGCTCTCATTTAAATGTTTTGCCTCGGCGAGGTTCAGTTTCAGCTTCTCTCTATCTTCTTTTGAAAGATCTCGTTTTAACGACCACCCTTTCCCATCCTCATCCCTTTGCAATTTTCTAGCATTCCTTAGTACTTCTTCCATCTGTTTGGCACCGTTTAGGGTGATCCTCAAAGGTCGATCTTTCCCTTTTACGTACCTGCCTATTCTCCTGTAGTCGCACACATTCTCTCTGTTTGTAAGACCTTCCACGAGGCCAACAATTTTATCTACTACTTTAGCTTCTTCTACAGCTCTTTCTGACCTAGATGTTATCGCCTTTTCTTTGCAGCCAAAAATGATCAGGGACTTACTCCGATCAACTGTGTTTTGCACCAACTTCGGGTTAGATGCCAATTCTTTCCTCACTTCTAGCCTAATGTTTGTTTTATCTTGGTTGCTGCAGTGTTTGACTTCCTTTACTGCTTCTTCTATTTTTTCCTTCTCCTTGGCCACTTGTGCATAAGTGAGTTGCATATCTTTCTTGCACTGTTCTATTCCCTGTGTAACTTCCTCCATCTGTGCTGACAAAAGCTGTTTCTCCTGTTGAATTTCCTTGCCTAACCTATTGTAGTCATTTATGTTTAAATTTACTTTAACTTCTTCCAAAGCTATTTTTAAGAGTTTATTTTCTTCTTCCATGGCTTTGCAATTTGTTTCCAATTGATTCTTATCCTTGCGCAAGTCTTTCACTAAACCCTCAAGACATAAAACTTTGCTATTCAAATGGTCATTACTTTCTTTCAATTTACTAATTATTTCTACATGAGAGTTCACTATAGTATCTAAATTTACCAACTTGTGTGTGGCCGGGTACCAGTGTGTGTCGCTCCTCAAGTAATTCGGGGGGAGGGGGGGGGCATGGAGGTGGTTTTTTAGTTTAGTTCATTTATTATGCACCCCCATACCCATCTTATGGGCGGTAGTGGAAAGGGTTACAGAGGCACATAATGGGCTCAGGGACTGAACCCCACAATTCATTTAGCTAAGCAAGTTACAAAATACAATATAAGTCATTACATCAACAATGGGTTCGGGATCGACCTCAAGTACAGGTTCTAAATTAAGCAACTGACATATGTGGAGAGCTAGTGTCAAAATTTATATGTTTGTCCTGCACACCACCCCCCATCCAGTGGGCAGCAGTGGATAGGTTACAATCACTCGGTTACTACCAACAGTTAGCAAACTGGGGATATTTGGCTAAAATTTCTGGTAGCAGATCATTTTGAATGAAATATTTACACATCGCTGGAACATTGGTTATAGAATTGTCTCTAAATTCACGTATCTTTTCACACTCCATCACATAGTGACGGAGGGGGGGGGGGGCTGGAGGTGGGAGAGGAGACCTGTAAACCCAGCAATTATGGACTGCTGACTCCATGCCACATGTTTGCCTTGATAATACTTGATGCTTTTCACAAAATTAAGAGAGAAAATTTTACCATTTCAGTGGCTTGTAACACATTGATCTATCATATTCCTTATTCAAAATGAAGAATGCATAATAAATGGGTGTGTGTGTCAGTGGTGAGAGGCATGTATTAGGGGGTTAAGAAGTCAGCTAGCTAGTTATTTGTTTTTTTTTTTGTTTTTTTTTGTTTTTTGTCGGGCGAGTTGAATGAGACGCTTCCAAGCCTGCTGCCTCAATACACCCCATGGATGGTGTGGGTGGTATGGTGGGTGTGGGGGGTGGTGTGGTGGGTAGTGTGGGGGATGGTGGTGGGTGGTGTAGGGGATAGTTTGGGTGGTGTGGGGGATGACGTGGATGGTGTGGGTGGTGGGGGGATGGTAATTCCCCCATCTCAGATTATTATCGACATGTAAAGGGCATGAAAGATATTATAATGAAGCAGCGCAAAGCGAAGAAACAAACTAAAATTCAAACGTTTTTGGTACGGTATTACAGTATGCCTACAGGAACAGCACTAGCAAGGACTCCCTTCATGAGTCAGGTGCAATGTTTCCTAATGCTAATGTGTCCTGGCATATGTATAAAAAAAAAATTTAAGAAGGTTGTTGGGGCCGGACTGATGGAACGAATTCCACACTGGAACGAATCGGCTTTGCCCCATATAGTTGGTTCAAGTGAGGACACACTGTATTCTACAAAACCAAGAAGAATTCCAAGCTCCTTATCAAAAACAGCCCGAAGCCAACGGAGAACCCTCTACAGCAGTCAAGCGATGTACTGTATACATGTACACTTAACCCAATGAAGGATGTAACCTTCAATTTAAGTACATAGGTATGACGTCGACCAAGCTGACGAGGCGTTTGACATGTCATCTTCAATCCGGTACCCCCAGGAATCACATTAGACAAGCCCATGACATCACCCTAACAAGAGAAATGTTGAACAAAAATACCTGTATAATAGACAAAACCCAAGATGCAAGAAGATTACAAATTCTTGAAGCAATTCACATAAGAATAGAACAACCTACCATGAACACCCAAATCACGGAACTATTTACTCTACCCACCATGAGAGTAAGGACAAGACCAGAACATAACGATGCCAACACAGAAGACACTGTTCAACATAACAGGTCAATTACACCTGATTAATCTTTGTATGTAGATAGGAGCTGCCTCGTATGGGCTAATAGGCCTTCCGCAGTTACCTTTATTCTTATGTGCTTCATCCCCCATTTATGCCTTATGTATCCCCCATGTTTTTACCTTTATTGTCTTATCACCTGACCCAGTGCGGGTATAAATCAACCAGTTCTGAACATTCTTTTCACTTGAGAATGAACCATGGAGGTTTGAAACATTGTGCAAATTGTTTAAATAAGTGTAATACATTCTATAGTAATTCACTTTTTTCGTCACCTTGAAATTACGAAAATGAGTTTTGGAGAACTCTTTCATCTAAGCCCTGATGCTAAGAAAATAGAGGGATAGAAGCCCTAAATCAGAAGATAGTAAATACAGAATATGCGGTCATATTCGATGAGACATGTTTAAAAGAAAACCTGCTGCCAGTATACATCATTATATAGTTTAGTATATAGTATAGCCTTATTTTACCTATATATTCATTGCCGAAGAAAGTCTGCAGTCCTGTAAATAAAAAATGGGCTATTATGAGAAAACTTTTATTAAACACCAAAGATTATGTATTTGATATTTGTTGTCCTAAAGACCTGAATATTTCTCAATTGTTTCTTTTGCAGCTCCTATTGTCTTCAGAAGACTGACACCTGCACTGCCACCACCCATTAGGCTGAGAGCTCATGTGTGTCAACAATGCTGTGTACATGATAGTGTGAGCAGTGTCATGAAGCACATCACTGTCAGATAGACTGCATATACATCATAGTGTGAGCAGTGTCATGAAACACAACACTGTCAGATAGACTGCTTATACATCATAGTGTGAGCAGTGTCATGAAGCACAACACTGTCAGATTGACTGCATACATATCATAGTGTGAGCAGTGTCATGAAGCACGACACGGTCAGACACGACACTACAGTGTCACGACACGACACTACATACATGGTGGTTGTCATCAGCAGTGTCATGAAACTCATTACAGTGTCAGAAAAACTGTACTACATGAATTTGGGTAAGACATTATCTTGAGCCAATTTCAACATCCTGATTGTTACATCCACATCCTCAACATCCTGTGGATGGATGTTTACTCAACTCTTTCAGATATTGTCATGTGTTTCCTTATCACCCATTGCAGTAAACACACTTTAATCCAAAGCACTCTACATTCATGTCTCTATGTATGTATGGGTGAGTACATGTATTTATCAACACCTCATGCACTATGGCACCATGGTAATAGATATATTTGTAATAAGGTATCTCTCAGTTCTCTGGTTATATATATAATAAGACACTCAGTTCTGTGGTTATATTTATGATAATATATCCCTCAGTTCTGTGGTTATATTTATGATAATATATCCCTCAGTTCTGTGGTTATATTTATGATAATATATCCCTCAGTTCTGTGGTTATATTTATAATGATAGATCCTATAGTTCTGTAGTTTATTTATAATAAGGCTTACCTTATTTATGTGGTTATATTTAAAATAAAACATCTCAGTGTAGCAAAATATATATATATTTATATTTATATATATATATATTTTTCTATAGAAGTGATACAATGACATTGTAAAATCTTGGACAAACTTGCCACAGTGCTTGTTTTACATATTTACAAAGTTTTACATGCACTAAATCTCCTGCTGGCAACTACATGTGGAGGAATACATATGTACTGTTTTTGTTTTTTTTTCACTTGATAACTCACAGGGCATATTGTATAGTATATTTTAAGTCTAGCATATTTTAAAATATGATAAGCACAATATTTTACTATTTATGAATCAACAATACCATCAATTTACATAACGAATTTTCCATTCTCGTATGTCTTGACAATTCATTTGCTTTATATATCTACCAAATTGGATTTTTTCCTGTTGCTTATTTTATATTCTGGACTATCTGTTGACAACAGAGGTACCACTATAATCTGGTTGCAATGTTGTAACGTGTGTTACACTATTTAACATTTCGAGCTATCTGTTGAGAACAGAGGTACCACTATAACCTGGTTGCAATGTTGTAACTTGTGTTACAATATTTGATATTCCAGGCTATCTGTTGACAACAGAGGTACCACTATAACCCGATTGTCTCTGCTGGCTACAATGTTGTAACTTGTGTTATTTACACATCCCAAAATCCAAGTGTTTGGGATCTTTTAACATTTCCTTTCATAATATACAAAAACTGCCTTTTAAAAAACCATGTCATGAATATGTGTTACTTAAAATTTTCTGTAATATTTATAAAGCATACAAGAATTTATTCATAATAATAATAATAATATTGTCAACAAGACTAAAGTAATCAAATGTAGTAAATATCATTAGATAATAATACTTAGGTTTTTGGATCAACTAGCTTTAGAGATTTATAAATTTAAGTAAACTGTACAAATGTTTCTTCAAAAGAAAAATATAATCAGTGTTGAATGTTCAAAAATATTAAAGTAAAACGTCCCATATAGTAGCCTACAAAAAATGTACAAAGAAAAAATCTGTGTTAAATATTCATTGTCTAAAACTATGTTCAGACATACTCCAAAGCTAAATATGAATGCCCATTCAGGAGAGAAACCGTATCACTGTTCAGAGTGTCTAAAAGATTTTTCAACAAAATCAAATCTAATATGTCACATGAAGATTCATACAGGAGAGAAACCATATCAGTGTTCAGAGTGTCTAAAAGATTTTTCAACAAAATCAAATCTAATATGTCACATGAAGATTCATACAGGAGAGAAACCATATCATTGCTCAGTGTGTGTAAAAGATTTTTCACGAAAATCACATCTAATATGTCACATGAGGATTCATACAGGAGAGAAACCATATCACTGTTCAGAGTGTCTAAAAGATTTTTCAACAAAATCAAATCTAATATATCACATGACGTTTCATACAGGAGAGAAACCATATCACTGTTCAGAGTGTTTAAAAGACTTCTCAAAAATATCAGCTCTAAAATCACACATGAGGATTCATACAAGAAAGAAACCATATCAGTGTTCAGAGTGTCTAAAAGATTTTTCAACAAAATCAAATCTAATATGTCACATGAAGATTCATACAGGAGAGAAACCATATCATTGCTCAGTGTGTCTAAAAGATTTTTCACGAAAACCAAATCTAATACGTCACATGAAGATTCATACAGGAGAGAAACCATATCACTGTTCAGAGTGTCTAAAAGATTTTTCAACAAAATCAAATCTAATATATCACATGAAGTTTCATACAGGAGAGAAAGCATATCACTGTTCAGAGTGTCTAAAAGACTTCTCAAAAATATCAGCTCTAAAATCACACATGAGGATTCATACAGGAGAGAAACCATATCACTGTTCAGTGTGTCTAAAAGATTTTTCAAGAAAATCAAATCTAATATGTCACATGAGGATTCATACAGGAGAGAAACCATATCACTGTTCAGAGTGTCTAAAAGATTTTTCAGAAAAATCAAATCTAAAAATACACATGAGGATTCATACAGGAGAGAAACTATATCACTGTGCAGAGTGTCTAAAAGATTTTTCACGAAAATTAGATCTAAAAAAACACTCAAGGATTCATACTGGAGAGAAACTATATCACTGTTGAGTCTGTCAACGGGTAAAAGTCTGGATGTAAATTAAGTTTAGTAAAGATGCATGAAGCTATATGTAGAAAAACAATAGCATTACCCTTAGTGACTACACAATTTAAATGTAGTTATTCTTAATAGTTGACAAAGTACAGTAGCAACAGAACCCATTCAGTGACAAAAGGTATTAGAGTAGAGATATTTCCTACCATCCTAGATAGACCGAGTTTTGGGCTGATTTTTGTTGCTATGTGGAACTTTGTCCAAAGCAGATATGTCCTTCTTAAAGCTAAAGTCTTCATTCCTGGATACAACTCTCCAAATGGTGGAGCATCACAGACTTGTACAGTTGAACAACTACAGTAGAACCTTGGGTTTCAAATTTTTTAGTTCTTGAGCTCAATTTCTTCTAAATGTTTCGACTCTGTGCTCGAGTTTGTTGATACACATATGGGCCAACCGAGCACATGGCGCACTTCAGTTTACCAGTGCCTCCCAACTAATGACGACCGCACTTGAATTCTTTGTGAAGAATTAAATTGTTTTTGTGCTTTTTTGGTTTGTGAACATGAAAGTTCTTATTATATATCATGCCATGGGTTCCAAGAAAGTCATTGGTAAAGTTCAACCTAATAAATTAGTTGTGAGGATGACGATCGAGGAAAATCAAAGAGTTCATTCATAGTGAGACAATGTGATGTCTCACTACAGACAAGTGTTTAAACATAGGGAAAAACAAGTGTCTATAGACAGATTCTTAGTAAGACAAGCAAGCAGTGAGCCACAACCAGGTCTTAGTGGTATGCATGCAAAATTTGAGAGAGAGTGTACCCCAGAAATGTCATCTCTGCTGTTATAATGGAAGGGGACTCCCTTTCCAAACACTAACACCTCTTCTCCTACCCCCTTCCTGTCTTCCATACACCAACAAGAGTCCTCAATATAGGTAAGGTACCTATGAGTATTATTCTCTATAAAATGTAATTTTTAGTTAATATTTTTGGCGGTGTAGAACGAATTAATTAAATTTACATTATTTCTAATGGGAAAATTAATTTCAGTTTTCGAATCGTCTCTGGGAACAGATTAAATGAAAAAAACTGAGGTACCATTGTACTTTCTTTTCCTTATGGTCAAAGGATCATTTGGCTTTTCCTAGGATTTGGGTTCTTCTTTGGGGGAGCCACTTGTGGCTCACTTGTGGTAATGTATATTATACAGGTAACATTTATATTAATCTGATTAATTTCACCAGAATGTGTGTTATACAGGAAACATTTATATTAGCCTGACCAGAATGTGTATTATACATGGAATATTTATATTAGCCTGATCAGACTGTGTATTATACTTGGAACATTTATATTAACCTGACTGGAATTTGTATTATCCTGGTAACATTTCTTTCATGGTAGTATCCTAGACTAGGCCTAATTGCTATTATTATTATTCATGTAATTATTTATAAACAATTATCTAGAAGGATATTTACTTTTAATAAAAAGTGATATCAATTTAGAAATATAGCTCTTAAGTTTAAATGTTGACTATATAGGCATATAATCATAAGCCATAGGCCTGTGTGTTGCCAGGTATCTAACTTGCCAATATTGATTTAATTCATCACCTAATTCACACATCTTAAAATAAAGGAAGTGAAGTCATATCATTCTATCCTGGACCATTATTTAAACTAGATAATTGTCCATAATGGACTGAAATGTTAAGATTTCTTGTATATCAGCTGTGTAGGTTGGGTGTGTAATTTTCAGCCACGTTATGGTGACTACCCACCTACTTGGACTGGACGGTACAGCAGTGTTCCCACTTCTTGCAGGTCAGCGTTCAATCCCTGACTGCCCAAGTGGGTGGTTAGGCATCATTCCTTTCCTCCATTTTATTCCAAACACTTAACCTCATATTCCTTCAAAGTGCTAAATAGTTTTAATGGCATAGTGCTTTCTCCTGATAATTACCTGACCTTACCTTGGTATTTGTACTTGATTTACAGCTGAATTTTTATTTTGATGTATGTGAATAATATAGTTATTGTTTAATTTATGTTTTTAGAATAAAGCATAATAATTGGTCTTTACTCATGGCCCTTTAATTATTACATTGAACTTGACTGTTATCTCAACATAAAAAGTCACTGTAAGTGCATTCTATCAATTAATAAACAAATGTGCTTAATGTAACATAGTTTATTTATCCTTGCAGGATTTTTAAATATATGATGTAGGTCATAATTTTGACCACCTGGATTTAACAGCAGAGCGATGCCATCATGCCTTGCATCTGTTCTTCATATCCCAGCTCTTTATCCTCATATATCTCTGTGCTTTCTCATCACAATTTTATTCCTAAATAGTTATTTGGGGAAGTGAGGAAGCAATGATTAATGAAATTAAAACAGATGAGAAAGTAATAATTATAATGTTTCAGAAATCTTTTGATTACAAGATTACTAGTTAATGTGCACACAGTAGTCTCCCAACAACCATTGGTAATGACTTCAATACTAGCTTTGCACAAGAACTTCAGTAATAAGAATGGAAAGCAACTGCTGTCTTTCTAAATTACATTAAAATAAATTACATTACATGTAATTATAAATTACAGTTGTCACATGATGACCAAACCACACAACAGAAGATTAAGAAACAATGATGTTTTGGTCTGTTCTGGTCCATTATCAAGACATACAGCTTGATAATGGTCCAGGACGGCTTGAAACATCGCCATTTTTCCATGTTGTGATGTGCAGTTAGGTCACCATATCTTCAGCCACGTTATTGTGAATCATCATCTGCACAGTAGTCACATTGATTTACAGATTGTGGATGACCCTGGACCCCCCACAAATCTATGTGGAGGCATTCTAGACCTGTGTCTTTGTTTCAGTCTGTTAGGCCTCCTGGTGCACATCATCTCGTGAAAAAGATTTGTCAGACGATTAACCTAGATTAACTACTGTATATTAGAAATACCATCCTGCCCAGTAGAACATTTAAACACAATGGTTGAAAGTTCCCCCCTTTGCTCAACATGAAATTCTTGTTACTCGTAACGAGTACAGTGTTAATTGTCGAGTTATTATCTGCCACACTACATCGTCGTTTTTATGAAGTCACGGCGCTATCTAGCACTTGCTCAATATATCCATTAAAATAGTAATTTCTCAATTAATACTTAGTTTTTCCATGTACAATATTTTATATTACTTGAAAAGACACATTAGTATACATTTTGAATTGATGAGTGGTAATAACATTGACATTTAAAATATCTGTTGTTTGCAGGAATGAAGTGACTATTACATTTGAATCCAGTATTTACATTATCAGAGCCGATTCGACAAGACGGCGTCTATGAAGAATAAGAGGCAGGAAAGATTATTTGAGAAGATCAATCAATAGGATGATTGGAATCCCTAACATGACAGAAGAGACCATTGTTTTGTGTCTGCAGACTTAACCCTTTTTTGTGTTCCTTAAGTCTGTCATTTAGTGTACGGCCAGTTTCCCAAAAGTATTTTTTTAGTCTCCGTGGTGTAGTGGTAAGACACTCGCCTGGCGTTCCGCAAGCGCTTTGTCATGGGTTCATATCCTGGCCGGGGAGGATTTACTGGGCGCATATCCTTAACTGTAGCCTCTGTTTAACCCTTAAACTGCGCAACGCGCCTGCAGGCTCACATCTGGTTTGCGCAATACGCCTCCGGGTATTTGTATTTTTCACGTTCCATTCAAAACTCCCGCGGCTACATGGGGTTCACATCAGCTTCCTCAGGGTTCTTGTAAACAGATGCCATTTTAAAAAAAAATCGTGGTCCACATTCCCGGGTGTGGGAGCCTCAGTAGTGTGTGAGCAACCAAGGCTGGCACTCGCAGCGTGAGCGCACAGCACTGCTGTTCAGTGTGTGACCACAGCATCACCTAATAATGTCAAAATATATATATATAACTTGTATTATTTAGTCATGATAGTGTTCAAGAAGAGCCTGATTGTGATAATGACTGGGTACAATGTTCAAATATCAGTGATTCAATGCTGTTCACGATGTTCACAGCGCTAGCCACAGCATTATTTCGTCCATCTAGGAATCTTCAAATGATTTCTTAGGTTCCTTTTCAAAATAAACGTGTGGTCAATTATTCATTTACAGGAATTAGTGACCAGGATTGTGGTTATAATTAGCGCTGTGCGTAGTATTGTGGAAGGAGGAATTTTGGTGAGGGAGGGAGAGAATTGAGGTAGCCTCTGTATGTGTGTGGCAGCCACTCTTGTTTTGCTCACCATACTAGCTTAGTGGTTCGCTATGGGCAACACATATGTACGTGTGTATATACAGTGTGTGTATATAGTGTAATAACAGCAACAGGAGAATGTTGAGAGGAGCTATTTTGGTGAGGGAGGTGATGTAATCGTAGCGTCGTCTGCTGTGTGATTTTTCATGCAGTGTTTGGTGGCCACTGTACTGTTTGGACACAATGCCGGCTTATTTTCATAGTTCTGGTAAATAAAACATGTACATAGGTATATATAACATGTGTAATTAGTGTAATAAAAACAATAATAGAATGGTGAGAGGAGCAATGTTGGCGAGTAAGATGTTAGAGTGAGGGAGACTGACTGGGTGTGGCTGCTCTCACTCGAGGTGTTCTGAGTGTGTTGATGGTGAATGTATATAGTGTGTGACAGTGTATAGTGTGTAAATAGATTGTATATATACATAAATTAGCATGATACATAGTAAATATGTGCAGCATGTGTGTACACAAGTATCATGCACGTAACAGTGTCTTCGGATAGTACAGATGTTTTACTGCCATAATATAGTGTACGTGTTCATTATACATAGGATTAGCACGTAAAAACAAATAAAATGTATTTGGAACTGTGTGCAAAAAATGAACAAAAATATATTCGCGGCAACTTGTGCGCCCCGCCCCGGGCATCCTACAGGCCCCGGGAGCGTATGTCATGGGCGAATGGGGAATGATGAAATCACGCGCCAACTTACGGACTCCATAGCAGCCAAAGTAAGTACAATTAAGTTTTTTTTTTCATACCCATACTGAGGGAAGGGTTTTTGACATTTAAAAAAAAAAAAAAAGATTTTTTCCAGAGAATTTATTTCCTGCGCACTGCGGGGGTGTCATATTTGGAGGCAACGCAGTTAAATGGTTAACACAACAGTGAAATGTGTACTTGGTTGAAACAACGATTCTTCGTGATGGGGATCGTATTCCAGGGACCTGCCCGAAACGCTACTGTGACGATAATCTCTTTCAAGAGAGATAGAGCCTGCTCTTCCCTACATATTTAAGTCTTTCAAGTACAAGATACTATATTGAAGATACGTCCACCAGTATCGCCAAACGTTTTGCCCAGGAAGCAAAGCATACCAAGCACAACCCGACACACCGGCTACCGCCTGCCGTAAACCAGCAAACTGCTCATTCTCCGCTTGTCTGTTGCTGATTGGCTGGTGTCTCACCACACCTGCACTCACGCCACCCCATGAGTCGACGTCTGGGCCAGCAGCACGCCGTCTCCTCAGAATATCTCTGTGCTCCTTGGAGTTGACATCTCTCTATTAGTAGAATAAGCCCTGGCTGTCGTGTACTAAGGGAGGTGGCAGCTTGAAGCCAGTATTCCCAGCACCTCACTTATTTGATTTATTTTAACTTGCACTTACTTGTCTTAGAGTAACTTTTCATTGCCTGTAATTATTCATGTTGTTTTGTTTGTTGACTTGTTTTGAATTTTACGAGATTGTCTTTATTCATATCTTGTTTTCTAGAGTAATTAAAATTTCATTGTTTATACTTTGTGTTTTGTGTCTTCCCATTACCTTACCACAGACAAAAGGACAAACTTCTCTTTTTCTGGGGGGAGCCCCGTTGGCTCCCCGGAGCTTTACCGGCTGATATGCTAATGTCAGACTTTGGCATCAGTCATGTGTATGGAGTTCTAGGGCCTACCGGAGACCACGAGCCAGAACCTGGCCCCCTCAGAGAGGCAAGGGGAGCAATGACCTATAGGAACCCCCGTGTGGTTGGAAGCATTCTATGTCTGCCATCGACCGGGTCAAGCATTAAGAAAGGTAAGCATTCCAAAACAAACCCCTATTGTGGTGAAAATTGCTACCTAAAGCCGAACTAGTGGATAGAACTCTTCAACAGAAAACAAGGAAACTAGTATGACGTCATACGTCACCGCGCCGCTGTCTGCGCAGCTCCCCCCTCCCCGGGAGGGGGAAGGGGGAGCCCCAGACCTCCCACGCCGGCTGTCCACCCATCAGTTCTTCGGCTGATGCTATAGGCAATCGTTATGTGCTTCGGCTCCGGTGGTTGTTTCAGCACTGTACCTAGAGTGTGGTGTCTGTTTTCTAGGTGGTGCGTGAGCCGGGAGTGATTCTTCAGTACTCGGGCTGCATGCACCTAGGGCTCCCTTCCCTAGGTGCCCTGTAAGTACTGCCCTTGGGGCTTGGGGCCACCTTCCACAAGTTCCTTGGGTCCTGCCCCTGCTTGGCCGTTTACTGCTTGGTTTTCGGCCGCTCTTTGTGTGCTCGGGTGTTCTGTCTCCCTTGTTCGCCTTAGAGTAAGGGGCAGTTTTTGCACTGGTGGGGCGCAGGGTACTGTGCAGCTTGTCTTTAGCAATCATAGCGGCCGGCTCTGTTCCGCTTGGGTGCGCTGTCCTCTTGCGGGGTTTTCTTTTTCTTTTTGTTTATCTACCTGAGGGGGGGTCTGCCTTCGTTCTTGCCCCTTGTGTCCCTTGTGTTCTGAGTATTTTCTGGTGGTACCCCTGCTAGGTCTCCGTGAGTGTACACGTCCTCGGGGTTCAGCTCTTAGAAAGTTGTTTGGTAGCTTTGGGTGCCAGTTAGCAGTACCCTGCCTGGGATTGCCTGAGCGCGAGTCCTCTTATAGTAAACGCTCGGAACCCTGGGAAACCCCTGGGGGCGCGCGGGTCCGATGGATGTGACCCCAGAGTTTCCCCCTCGCTTCCAGCGAGTTTGAGGGTTGCTCTCACCCTTTGTCTCTGGGTGACTCTGTTTTGCCTCCGTCTGCTGCCTGTGGGGTCGGTGACACCGACCCGGAGTCCTGCGAGTTTGGTTGCTCGTTGTGGCTCGGTTACCCAGTTGTGCTAACAAAGCGGGTGCGGGCAGCAGCGGCGTTGCACTTGAGCCT